AATTTGAAAAACACATATGTAAACAGGAACAATTTTTTCAGCCTACTGGTGAGAAAACTGTTGCCTTGCAGTTACACATGAGCATCATTAGGTGGCACTGGTGTGGATTCCAGTTGACTCACACTTGGAAGTTTAACTGGAAGTTTAACTAGTCGGAGTGGGGAAAATCTCAGACACTTCATCTTCCTTTTGAATAGACGACATCCTCTAACTTGTCTTCAACTACTACCTTTTCTAGGCACACCCTCCCACCCATTTCTTAACTCCCACCATTCCTTAGCTTACCTGTCCAGAGGCCAGTGTTACATCCAAACTGTCAGCTTGTAGCATAAGCCCTTCAGAAAACAAGTGTCTCCCCTCTCCTCTCTTCACTTTGCCCCAATACCGACTTGAGACTCTCCTATTTATGGTTCACAGTTTCATCCCAACCACTCCTCCCGTTCCTAACCCAGCTCTGACCTTGTCCCTGTCTGTGGTTCTCACCCGCTTGCCCAGGCTGGGTCTGGACGTTCTGCTCGTATTTTCTCCTCGCTATGTCCTCGGTGGGCGGCTTTAGTGTCCCACAGCAAAAGCAGCAGCAACAGCAGCAGCAGCAACAGGTGAGCAGAACACACAGGAAGACAAGTGTCTAAAAGGTGGGAAAGGATGGCCTCAGTCTACGTAGCCATTCCAGCTCCCCTCCCACATCCTCCCAGCACCCAGAAAATGAGACAAAAAGCATTTGTTCTCGGAGAAGAGGGGCGGTGCGCTTGGTGAGGGGGTCACCCTTTCTTCCTTATTTTTAAGGGACTAGGGCAGTGATGGCGAACCTTTTGAGCTGGGCGTGTCAGCATTTTGAAAAACCCTAACTTAACTCTGGTGCCGTGTCACATAGAGAAATTTTTTGGTATTTGAAACCATAGTAAAACAAAGACATATTTTTGATATTTATTTTATATATTGAAATGCCATTTAACAAAGAAAAATCAACCAGAAAAATGAGTTCGTGTGTCACCTCTGACACGCGTGTCATAGGTTCACCATCACTGGACCAGGAAGACTTGTGTACCTTGAACCAACAACTGTTCATCATAAAATAGTATTTGACGCCGTCTTCACCAAAGTGATCGTATAAATACAATCCCAACGAGCCATGCCGGTCGTAGATTTTCCGCTTCTTTGGATCACTCAGTACAGAGTGGGCTGCGTTGATCTCTTTGAATATTTCTGCTGCTTGAGCATCCCCTGGATTTTTGTCTGGGTGATACTTCAAGGCCAGTCTCCTACCAAGGCAATATCCAGAAGGGGGGTGGGGAGAGAATAGGCAGTAGCTGGGGAGGGAGGGGTGGGATGAAAGACAGGGATAGGTTTCGAGATAGTGACGAAGGAACACCTCAATTGTCCAATATTAGACGTGGTACAAAGAATGGAGGCAAGCAGGCCAAGTCTACATTCCTTCCCACGCCACACTGAAGAGGATGGTGGCCCCACCCAGCCCCGAAGTGTTTTTTGTGGTTTTTTTTTAAAAAAAATGGGCCAGAGAGCAAAGTTGAAAGACATGGGTCTAAGCGGGTGAAAGGGCTTCACAAGAGGCTGAGGTCTGAACCTGTAGGCCTTTTTGATTTCATCAGGTGAGGCGCCCTTCTTGAGCTCCAGCACTGCGTAGAGGCTCGTCCCGGTCTTGGACAGCCGGCGGGCTGCTTCGTCCACGTGAGTCATGATCTGGTCAAGTGAGAACGGCCACAGGCCAGGCTGCAGAGACGTGAACTCCCAGGGGGCAAATGGCTATAAAGGGACACGCATAAGACAACGGTGAGTGGGAGCTGTGACTCGCAGGGGAGTGCCGGTTCCCAGAGAAGACATTCAAATTCCATTTAAAAATTTTTAAAAAAATATTAATTTGAGAGCTAGAGGGAGGGAGACAGATTGAGATGTGCTGTTCCACTTCTTTATGCATTCACTGGTTACTTCTTGCCTGTGTCCTCACTGGGGGCTGAACCCGCAACCTTGGCATATCCGTATCTGGAGGATGCTCTAACCGACTGAGCTGCCCGGCCAGGGCCAGATTCAAACTTTAGAGAGGAAACCTCTCACATCACCTGGTGTCCTCACATCACACGATGCAGACCTCCAGCCGCCCCACATCCTAGACAGCGGTACCCAAGAGGAGGTCTCAACATGGGAGGAGACTGGTTCCGCCCAGAGCTCCTGGGGCCTTAAGTAAACAGCCCTGGTCACGCCCACACTCCTTGCTGGTGTGAGAGACCCGGGCAGCCTCACCCCCGAGCAGACGGGTCAGGAGTCTGCACAGCACAGTGTCTGCGGGAGACACTGCGGGTCACACCCTGGACACCAAGCCCGGCCCAGGGCAGCGCTCACAGCCCGGCCAGAGGCTGTATTCCTCCCTGGCCTCCCCTCTCACCTCCCCTACCCCTGCCCCTCAGAGACGGGGCAGCGAAACAAACCGAGGGCTGAAGCGGGGGTGAAAGGGGGCAGCTGTAGGGCCGGGGTAGCTGTAGGGCCCGGCCAGCGACCAGCAAGGGGCCAGGGAGTGAGACCCGGAGATGGGGAGAGCCTGCGAGGATGTGGCCCAGGAGAACCAGGGCAACGAGCTCGGCAGGGAGCGCTCCGGCTCCCCAGGCCCCTCTGCTGGGTGGACTCCCCGCCGGACCCGACCGGCCTCTACCTCCTTTCAGCCAGCCGGGCCGGCCTTCCACACCCTCCGCCAGGGCGTGAACCCTCACACCGCGGGGCCAGCAGCCCTCTGCGCCTGCGCACTGTGTCGACACTCAGGGTCGTTTTTTGGCGCCACCGGAAGGTCTGGGAGGCGAGGCTGAGCGAGCCCCGGGACTTATTTCGCTCGCGGGAAACCTGGGCGTAGGGATACGCCAGGCGCCTGCAGACCAGGGCCGCGTGGCCTCTTCTGCAGCCCCTGCCGCGGGCCGCTCTGCTCCGCTGGGAGGGAACCACCTCGCTGGTCACCGTCCTGGCTCGTGGACTCACTTAAGGAAAGATAATGGGCTTGCAGGAGGGGCTGTGTGAGCAGTATGGTTGCTGCACGCCTTTCTCGAGGCGGGTATTACCTTCCCAGTCTTCTTTTTCACCTTCTTGTCTTTCCCTTCCACCTGGAAACCGGTGCACGTCCTTTAAGACTCACCTCAAATGTCAGTATTCCTGGGAATCCTCCCTTCATTCCCCCAGTTATTCCCCTTGCCCTGTCAAAGCATGTATCCTGTTATACTGTAATTATTAGTTCGCACATTCCTTTTTAAAACAATATCTTGAACATTTCCAGAAGTTACTACTGTTCTTCAAAAACTTCCTTTAAATACTATGACATCATGCATATGTACCATAACATGAATGTATAATCCAGATTGGATAATGAAGATGTTTCTAATAATTCGATAGTATAATAACCTTATGATGAAAATTCTTATCTTACCTATCAAACTTTAAAGAAATCTCCCTTTTTTCCCCTTGGAGTAGAAAATGAAATTTTTTGAGGTCCTTGACCCATATTACTAACTCCCTTCCCAGGAAGGTACCAAAAGTACCAATTTACATCCTTACCTAGAGGACATGAGAGCACCCATCTCTACCTGGCCTCACTTCAGAGATCCCCTACAGGAAGTAGTGTTTGCAGCACTAATAATTTACCACATCATATTAGAGAGGAAAACTCAATGGTTCCTATAACATGTAATTGAAAGAGCTTTACTAATTCAATAATACATCTCTGTTACCCCCTCTTGTGGTTTTTACCATTCTCTTTTCTTTAATACAGTTATATGTGCACATTTATCTTCCCTTTTAGGTTTTTTTAAAAAAATATATTTTATTGATTTCTCACAGAGAAGAAGGGAGAGGGATAGAGAGCCAGAAACATCGATGAGAGAGAAACATCGATCAACTGCCTCCTGCACATCTCCCACTGGGGATATGCCTGCAACCAAGGTACATGCCCTTGACCAGAATCGAACCCGGGACCCTTCAGTCCGCAGGCCGACGCTCCATCCACTGAGCCAAACCGGCAGGGCCCTTTTAGGTTTTAAGTGATAAATCAATACTCTACCCCAAGAGATATGAGCCACCTGAGCAAACTAGCTAAGGAGTCCATATGTGATAGGCACAATGACCACTGAACTAACGAATTTATTTCTGTAGGTTTGTGATCAGGATGGGGATGGATATCTGTAGGTCTGTGATCAGGGTGCGGATTAAAATATTTGGCATCACCCACCCAGCTCGTAGGTTCTGGGTCAGATGAATTTAGAGGGTAGTGACCTAGAGTGAAGGAACTAAAGCCGACAAATTTTTTGGTGGTTGGGACTATGCCAGATTTCTCTGACTAACCTCCAACCTTTAATCACCATCAGGGGAAGACAGAAATAGCAGAACAATATAATCATTTCTTCGCTAGCACTGGGAGGAGGGAAGAAGGCATCAGAAGTGCAGTGCACTCAGCAAGTTCCTCACCTCAGTCTACAGGCCCAATGTGGTCCTGCCCCTGCCCCTCACTCCCACACTTTCCGTCAGTTCTTCGGAGACACCCAGTTCCCTTCCATTTCAAGGGCCGTTGGCTATGCTGCTCCCTCTGCCTAGAGGACTCCTCTCCGGACTGTTCCCTATGCCAGCTTTTCATCTTTTGTGGATCTCAGCTTCCTGCCTCCTCAGAGAGGTCTTCTAAATGGAATTCCACTCTTCTCTCCCCACTTCATAATATCCTCACCATGATTTGTGAATAGATGTTTATTTGCATGTTGATTTGTTTAACGTCTATCTTTCCCAGTAGGCAGTGAACTCCATGAGGGCAGGGACCTTGTCTGTTCACCATTGTATCCCCAGCACCTAGAACCAGGCCTGGCTCACAATAAGTTAATTCATGATTTGTTGAATGAGCTACAGCAGAGGGAGCCCTCTGCTGGTCCAGTGTAGACTCAGAGGTCAGCCCATAGCAAGGGGCGAAGAGAAAAGGGCAGTAGGGGAGATGGTAATGGTAATTCTGAGCTTCTTGTTTCTTGTTTGTGTTAGCCTTCGTCTAGTTCCTAACACAGTTCCTAGAATGTTTTGGTGCTCAAATAAATGTTGGTTGGTTGAATGAACCAGCAAACTTTTGGGTGCCTGTTCAGAGGTACTTTTACCCAATTATCTCTGATTCTCACAACAACCTTATATGATCACGTCCCTGCTTTATAGAAGTGCCGAGAAAGAGGGCAAGTTGGGTGCTGAGTAAATATCTTTCACATCTTGCCAGAGGCTCCAGAAGGTAATTACTTCTTATCATTGCCCTCTGACATTCTAATTAATTCTAATTATAGTTCGTGGCTCTTGAAATAGCCATTATCTTTAAGTTTCTGAGCCTCTGTTCTGACTGAAATGACACTACCGCCCGCAGGCTGCAGAGGTAGGAACAGAGCAGGCAAGTCATCCCGGCACCCTTTGGCCGCAGGCTCTCCACTTCGCCTTCACCTAGAAACAGACCCTCTTTGGCTCTGTTTCCTGCACGTTGTATCTTCTAACACCCAGCACAGAAGGAAGAACACACCAGCCAGGAGACAGAAGCCCTAGTTCTGAGTTCTCACTATTTTTCTAACAAGCTGTGTCATCTGGGACAAGTCACTTAATCTGAGTCTCATTTTCCTCTTTTATTATTATTACTAGAGGCTCGATGCACAAAATTTGTGCATGGGTAGGGTCCCTAGGCCTGGCTGGCGATCAGGGCCGATCTGTGGGGCGACCTGTGGGGCAATTGGGGCCCCCTACTGGCACCTGCCTTGGCTGGCCTGGGACCTGCAGGCTAGGGGCAGTTCCTGCGTTGAGTGTCTGCCCCCTGGTGGTCAGTGTGCATCATAGCGACTGGTCGTTCCACCGTTTGGTTGATTTGCATATTAGGCTTTTATTATATAGGATTATTTTTAAATATATTTTTTATTGATTTCAGAGAGCGAGAGAGAGATAGAAACATCAATGATGAGAGAGAATCATTGATCGGCAGCCTCCAGCATGCCCCCTGCTGGGGATCAAGCCTGAAACCCAGGCACATGCCCTTGACAGGAATTGAACCTGGGATCCCTCAGTCTTCAGGCCAACACTCTACCCACTGAGCCAAACCTGCCAGGGCTCATTTTCCTCTTTTATATAAACTTGTGTCATTTCCAAGGTTGCTGTCAGTATTAAATTACATTTGGAGTAAAAAGGATGGGAAAATGAAAATAACTATGCTAAAGAATGAGCACAGACTAATATCTTTTCTGGGATTATTTGCCCTCTCACCATACCTTGAATCAGGAATCTTCGAGTTTACTACCTCATCGAGCCATTTGGTCTCTTCTGGAGAAAACCAAGAAACATCCTTTATTTACCCACAAACAGCGTTTTAGTCATATAGCTGGAATGTACACATACAGACAGCAGACATTGACATATTCATACCCAAAATATCATGCTCTCAAACATATGCAGTTGGAGAGAGAGACCACAATTTGTCATACCCAAGCACCAGGTTCTAGAATTCGCAATGTTTAAGCTGGAAGGGACATTAGAGACTGAATTCTTATCCAATGCCTTTATTTTGTAATTGAGGAAAGTATGACCCAGAGATAGGGACTGACCTGCTCAAGGTCAACCAGTGAGGTCTTCTGACTCCAAGTTCAGTGTCTATACAGTGGCTTCTCCTTATACACACCAGCGCTTGCTCTCTCTCTCTCTCTCTCTCTCTCTCTAATTGATTTCAGAGAGGAAGGGAGAGGGAGAGAGTTAGAAACATCAGTGATGATAGAGAATCATTGATCGGTTGCCTCCTGTATGCCCCCTACTTAGGATCAACTCCAAAACCCAGGTATGTGTTCCCACTGGAATCAAACCATGACGCTCAACCATTGAGCCACACTGGCCAGGCCACATCAGCTCTCTTTAAAAATCTAGGTTAGAGACAGACCAAAGCTGTAGTTGATATTCAGCTCCTTTCATTGATGATATCAGGAAATGTCCCTCTTCCCCTCCCCACAAGCATCTCAGGGTGGGAGGTGGAGGGCTTCCAGCGAGAAAGGCATCTCTTACCCCTTCCTCTCTGCCCTGCAACCCCAGACTCTGCAGACCTAAGGGCAAGCCAACAGGGCATACCTGCCTCACCTGCAAAATGGAGATGGTGGAGTCTACCTCTTAGGGTTGTTAGGAGGCTTAAGTATTTAATTTAAACAGTGCTTGGCACATGGTAAGTGCTCTCATTTATCATCATCATCGTTTCTAATCTATCTCCTCTCAATTTTGTAAAGAGAGAAGTTACTTTTTATATTGTCTTTGGGAAGAGAAGAAAAACCAGGCTCCTTCCCTTAAGAAGATCTGCAAATTGTAATTGGCATCCTTCCATCCCCTTTCTGCACTCTTCTCAGCCTGTAGATCCCCATTTTTTTGTTCCCCTGACCAGTATCCACCTGCTGCTTTCTGGCTATTCAAAATATCTCCGACAGTCCTCCCCCAAGCAGTCAGAACTCCAAAATTATCTCTCTCACCGCCTCTCCTTCCAACATTTCTGATAAAAAAATACCTCCATAAAATGATCTCATCTGCAAGGGTTAGGTGGGAAGCAATCTGGTTAAAATACTGTTAGTTCAGCTTACAGTGAGAAAGACTATGATACTGCACCCACTTATTCTTACTAACGCAAAAGGAATAACTGCAATTTCAGGCTATGTTTTGAGAAGAGACTTTGGGCCTGAAATCACTTCTCTCCTTTCTGTCCAACTCCACCAACTTCACGTCT